ATTTTTTTTTTAAGTTTAAATTGTTTTCCTAATCGTCAGGAGATTTTGATTTTCTAGAATATTGGGTAAACTTGGGACATGTTAAGTTTTATGCTTCTTAGCCCCTATAATTCATTTTCTTTTGCAATTTCAAGTAAAAGCTCTCTTCTTCCTTTAAAACAATAAACATTATCCCAATATGTTCTGCCACATCAGAACTCCTTTATGATAAGCATGTATTATCAGAATATAAATATTTTATTAATGGTGACAGTACAAAAATTGCAATACAATTTATAGGAGGAAAATCAATGAAAAAATTTGAACATTTTAATTATCAATAACGATTTTAAAATAATAATGTAACAATTTTTTGTTAATCTCCACCTATTTAGTTACTACACTTTTAGTTGTGTGACATTTTAGAAAATGTGATAATTGTACTATACAATTGTCTTACTAGAAAAATAACAAAGTAACATTAGAATAATACTAGATTATGAAAATAGGTGTTCTTGTGTGCCGTTGAGTCAGTTCCAACTCACAGCAACCCTGTATAGGGTTTCCAAGAAGCAGTTGGTGAGTTTGAAATATTGCCAATATTTCAGTTCAAACCAACCTTGCAGTCCAGCACATTAACCCGCAGCTCCACATCAGGACTCCATGAAAATGATAGTGATGGTTATTTAAACAATGATATTTAACTACATATAAAAATATTTAGATTATGTCAATAATAAGTATATGCCCATTTGTGCACCTAATATTAAAGTATAGATATAATTATACTGTATAGAACACTCCCCAGCAATTAGCATGAATATGAGTTAAAATTATGTTGGCATTTTTGAAATGAACTCACAATTTAAAAGATTACCTTGAATGTTATTTAATTACATTATTTATAAAATAAAAACTCACAGATATCCTTGTTGAAAAAAATTCACATAAGTTATAATCAGTGTAAAAATGTAAATAAAAGCTTTCTGGAAGTGTTTGTATAGATAAAAACTAAGTGACATTAAAATTACATGGCAGACTTTTTAGATGTTATAGAACTATTTTTGACCAAAAAAAATCATGTTTTCATTAAATATAAACCTAAATATATTTTGGTAATTATGCTTATTTTGCAAAAAATGAAACTATTTGTAGAATTGAAGTTTGAAAATTATGAGAGATCAAACATTTCAGTATTTTGGTTTATGAAAAACAAAATAATATTTAAATAGAACCAAGGGAAGAGAAAAAAAAAAAAAAAACTGATGAAATTACATTAAACATTAACCCATCTACCCAGTTAGTCCACTCAAACCACCCTTTAGAGCAGGGTTGGAGAACGTTTGGCCCACAAATTGTCCGTTATTATTGGTGTTGTTAACTGTTGTCGAGTGGGTTCTGACCCATAGTGACCCTGTATAGGGTTTCCGAGGAGCGACTGGTTCAAACTGACTTTGCAATGTTGCACATTAATACACAGTTCCACATGCAGGTTATATAAGATCCTCGAAAGGATCTTATGAGTGGACCTGCCAAGATAACCTCAGTTCCAGCCATCACATTTTTTTTATTGTTGTTGTTACGTGCCATCGAGTCGATTCCGACCCATAGCGACCCTGTATAGGGTTTCCAAGGAGTGGCTGGTGAGCTTGAACCACCTAAGTCTAGCGCGCCACACCAGTTATCACATTGTATGCCATGGAGTTGGTTTCGACTCATTACCGGAGCAGAAAGCCTCATCTTTCTCCAGTGGAACAGCTGGTAGTTTCGAACTGCTAACCTTGAGGTTAGCAGCCCAACTCGTCCACGCTACCAGAGCTCCTTAGTCATCACATTGTTGTTGTTAAGTGCCATCGAGTCAATTCCGACCCATAGCGACCCTGTATAGGGTTTTCGAGGAGCAGCTGGTGAACTTGAACCACAGACCTTGCAGTTCAAACGGCTTTGCAGTCTGGCACATTAACCCACAGCGCCACACCAGTCATCACATTTGTTGTTGTTGTTAAGTGCCGTCGAGTCGGTTCCGACCCATAGCGACCCTGTACAGGGGTTTCCGAGGGTGTAAATCTTTACGGGAGTAGAAAGCCTCATCTTTCTCCCGCGGAGCAGCTGGTAGTTTCGAACCGCTGACCTTA